TTGCTCCCTTTACGTCAAAAAATTAATAGATTTATACGTTAATAAAATACAATATGCATTTATTTGATAAGCTATATTTATAATAGTTTTATTACTATAGTTCCGTTAATTTGTGATAATTTTTTTTAAATATTATGTATCGAACATTTAATTTTACAGATGTTATAATTTACACGAACAAATTTAATTGCTTTTTAAATAAGATCCTAAATGCATGTTAATGAATCTTGTATTACAAGAAAAAAAAATATCTGAAAATCCGATGGGTGGATAGTTTCAGTAACTCGAGACTACCTTTTCACGCCGCTCCTCGTCTATAATAAACCATGCTTCAATGTGCATTAAATGCGCGCGCTTGTTTAGGTAGGTAGTAGGTGTATACCGTATATCAATCACGCACAGCTGCCGCCAAAATGTCATACATCCCTTATACTCGACAATGGGGAAAAATTATACTGTACACGTTTCAAAAATGTATGTATATACTATACACATACGAGTGACGCGTTTAATTACGTATATATACAATATACAACCGTATCAAAAAACAACAATTACATATGTGCCACAAAACAATATCGGCAGTCATAGGTTGCCAGGCGTCTGAAGCGTATTATTATATTTATTCCCCGTCGGGTTTTTCTACACAGACTCCTAACCAAAAGGTTGACGTTTCAGATGAATAATTTATTCTCATTTAACGAGTGGGCAAAAAAAATAAATACACACCGTAGGGGTTATTATTATCAACATTTCTTCTTTTTCTTTTTCTTTTTTTTTTTTTTTACGGCGTTTACTTTAAACACGATCTTCACCTGTTGCTCGGGCAACACTATCAAAACAACATTACACAGCGTTATATACGATATTTGAGCGTCACTTATGTTATTACTTATTTATGTATAATAATGCATTAATACAATATAATATTGTGCCGCACTACTCGTGTAAATACTATGCACGCGCACCCTCGGTATCGAATTAGTTGGTTTTTTATCCTGTTATCCTCATCCTCACCTATCCGTCACAGCATCCGCTGTACCTAAGCATATACTTTAACATCGACGAGTGTAGGTTGTGGCGGGCGGCTCGCACGAATCGTTCGTCTCCGGATCTCCACCAACACCACATGGCACGAAAACCGTGTCGCCACCGTCGCCGCCGTTCGACATCAAAACACATCTGTCCGGGGCATGTGTCGCACATGGGCATGTGCAGGAGCACGCGGCACGGGGGCGGGCGACGCGAAACGTTTCGATCACTGCGTCGATGTAAGCGATTCCTCCGCCCCTAATAATCGCGTCAACGTCGTCCGCGTCGCATCCGTTTGCGCGCAGGAGCACCTGCACGGACGAACACGCCGCCGCCGCCGTCGCGCGTGCGATGCATTATGATTTCCACACCGTCACCACGACCAAACAAACAACATGGCCACCGATAAGCCGTATTCTGGGTCTCGTTAAGATATTCAGCTCGTAGGAGCAGTTCCTCATCACGTCGCTCGTATAATGTCTTTACTACTACTCGTCCCGTCGGAAACTTCTAGGATATGATATAATACAATACACAATATTAATGTGGATAGGATGTGCATTGTGTATTCAAGTGGGATCCGCGATGAGTATAATATTATACTAGTTAAAAAAAAAAAAAAAGTCGTTACATGCGATTAAGGTTGTGTTATCCTCGCCACTGATAATATTAACAACTATAATAATCGTGTAGAATAATAACATTAAAACACAATATGAAAATTATTAATATGATATTATTAGAGTTATAACAATAGGAAAAGACATTTATGTATTGAATTCTAAAATTTGACAGATGGCGGATTGAAAAAGTGCTTTTTTTATTTTTTTTTTATATTATTATTATAAATAATTGTTCCCACAGCCGGATTTAACAACAACGGAAATCGATAGATTCTTTGATCACAGTACGTATACCATGTAAAAAGTTATAGGGATGTCCTAGCCATGCATACATCATCTATGATAGTACAAGAATCTATGGGGTCATCATTTTATATCTATACGCATAATACTATATACAAGTCGCGTACATGAAATTTTGAAAATTCTCGCGTGACGCAATAATTATTGGTACGACCGGGATCATACACACATATTTTATACGTATATATATAAAAATGTTACAATCAAGAACTTCAGATGGTGATTACCTGCACCGGTTTCAAAGAACCTGCCGCGGTACCTACACCGCAGAGCGACCACGTTCATATAACATAGAACATTGTAATAACATACTATAACGTAATAACTAATAAGTCGCATCACTATAACATATATCTACTATAGAGGTACATATAATATGCATATATAATTATATTTACAGGTGAAAACAATACAACTACGAAGTCCATATTTGTATCTATTCATATCGTTTTATTCACCACAATCGAGTGATCATATGAGTATATAAGTTCTCCCTTCCACAAACAATAGACAGCGAATGAAAATCGAACAATATTTTATAAGGTATTAACACAAAATATATACATCTGACGCGCGACGTTCTGCATACAACATGGAGTGCAATAGTTATACAGTATATATACTCGTAACAGTCGACGCGTTATAGGTTCAATGACAAAAAATAAATAATAATTCAAATAATATAAAAAAAAATACGAAGTTACAAAGAATAATACTTATAGAACGAAATGTAAAATTTCAATGGTAGACGCTCGTCGAAGGGAATACTACAAAATGCGGACTTACCTGAAATCTTGAGCGAGAGCGTGGTTAATGTTCACCATCGGGAGGGCTCTGTTCGTATCGGACGCCGTGATCGCACTGCATTCAACCCCGCGCCCGACAGGAAACCCGAGCCCAACCACTACGCTGTCGGCGTACGCATATGAAGGATGCCGCCCGCCACCACTCAACACACCTCGCACGCCACGACAATCCACCCCGGTGTTTCCATCCTTCGGACGGCGCCAGTCGGTTAGTTAAAAACGGACCGAGTATAAACCCGTGGGAGGGGGAGTTGCAAACGCGATAAGGTGCAGCCACACAGGTAGTGGTGCAAAGAGTCTCGTCATGTCAAGAGTCGCCCGAACGAGTATACACGTTGGTATGTGTTATTAATAACACACAAGATACGAACACATATTTTCACTGTAATAGGGGTGATTTTTTTCAGCATCCCCCGGGTGAAATTGACAATAACAAAAAAAAAATAATAATAAATAAAATCGATCGTAAATATTCTGAGAATACCAATTGTAACCTTCGGGCGCAATCGTAAAAATCAGCTTCAGAAGACGTATACAATGTCCAAATGAAAAGAATCTAATAACTTTCCTAACAGAAAAAAAATAAATATCAAACTACAATAAGGGTCTTTGAAAGGGTACCATTGGGAATAATAATAATATGCACTGCTTGACGTAACCAAATCTCAATGGTTTCGAGATCAGTCGTAAAATGAATATTCCAGAAACTTCCAAATTATCGACAATCGTTGTTCAAACTTCAAACCACAATAATATAATACAAAATATATATAAGTACTATGAATTATCATATATCCCTTCCAGCCCAAAGATATCTATAATTCAACTTAAAAATAATATAGATCTATTTCACATCTGTGCGTGTATTATTACACATACAACTAATGACCCGTAGTGTATTTTATTTTAAATACTATTATGACTTATTCAACACAAAAGTGACAGTTAGTCTTTATATTATTGATAAAAAAAAATTAATTTATCAAGCTATTAATTAATAATTATTTACCGATACAAATTTGAGGGTTAGAGCTGATTATTTTTAAAATAATTAGTAAGCTAATGAGTTAACGTAACATTTTAAATTTAATAGTGTTAATATTTTGTAGATTTTAAATGATATGTTAAAATATTATTGTAGCCATGACAGAAAATAAGCGCCTTGATTTACTACTGTATATACTACTAGCAATAACAATATGTTTATTTAGTTGCAGTTCTATGTAGCAATGTGCGTGTTGAGTGTTGCATACTATTGTTTCTTTCGAACTTGTTTAATATATACAACTGCTATTATTACTGAAACCAATATAAAATCTGTACGGTATATTTACATTGATATCAGCTTTAGTCTCTGGTTAAATATTTTACTTATGACTATTTTATATTTAAAATTATTAATAACATTATTATAATATAAATAATTAAAAATCTTATATTTTAACTTTAATAAAATTATTAAATGTTATAATTATTTAAAAAATAAGTACTTAAGTATATTTTTATACATCCATTAAAGAGAATTAAATTTTTTTTAAAAATGGATAAAAAGGAATTAGGTAAAATAAATGAATAAATATAAAAATAATTTAATCAGTCAAAAAAAGTTTAATATTATTGCAATAATAAAAACAATAATAATAATGATTAAACGATAAATTTCTAAAATAGAAATAAATTGTAACTGAGTTTAAATAATATTATTTTATAGCTTCTTCACAACACTATAAATATATCTTTGGAAATAACTTATTGATAATTGATAACTTGATTGAATTAAATTTCAAACATAAGTAACACTGATTTTAGTTAAATTATAATCTTGGAATTAACAATAATAAGATTTAAAACATATTAATTAAATAGATGTGGTTTTAAATAAATTACAATTATAATAAATTAAATAACAAATGAAAAACCAATAAAAAAAAAACAACAATCTATTGGACTAAGCAGAAAAATTATTATTTCTCAGATGAACATAAACTAATTCATAATAAATTAAGAAATTAGGCACTATCTTAAAAAGAATATCAAATTGTACTTTTGTCAATTTTTATTTAAAAACAAGAAAACTACTATTATATGTGAGACTTTAACTGAATACCAATCGAAATAACTCCGACAAATTTTCTATTTTATTTATTTTTTTAATTTTTATTCCACCATCTATCATGCAAATATCTGATGGAAATAAAAATAAAAACAAAATCTACTGGGCAAACCCGTTGCTTACCATGGAGACGAAGTAAAATTTTTCAAAGTCTTGTTCTTGTTGCCGGATGGCCGGCAGACTGTTGGCCAAATCGGCATGTTGAACCAACGCGTGTTCTCCTTTGTTGGTCAGCCACGAGAGAACCTATAGAGATACACAATACGTATATTTATATGATGGATGAATAAACAAAACTAAGCAGAAAAAATATTTGGAAAAATGGCTAATTTCCTGTTTACCTCCATAATATTATATAAATACCTATGTATTATTATGCATATTGAATAATAAATACTACGTTACACTCTTCTATTCATCCCGTGTTGTAATTTATCTTGGGGGCCAAAGTCACAATACTACTATTAGGCATTAGCCATAGCATGAAAGTAATATGTAATATTATTATTAACGATAATTTTATGAAAGGATACGTCATATTTTTTAGACAGATAAATTACATTGGTTAATGAATGCTAATTTGTTCCTTCGTCTTTTGTAAGTGATAGATATATTGTGCGTCAATTTTTAATATATAACAATGCCCTCCATTTTTTAAACACAAATAATATGCCATCATAACTTGAGTCATGTGGTCCTTTGATCTGGCTGATGGACATTTTGTACGGCAATATAATGAACATTGTGGATACAAGACGTTAAATCTACACGAAAAATGGCTATTACAAAACAATTATTGATGGTCATGCCATAGACGGAAATTTATTAAAATTTAAGGGTGGAAGAGGTAAATAATTTAAAATCTAAATTACCTAATTATAATAAAACATTTTTATCACTTTACTTGAAGATCCATTGTTAAAAATGTCATAATAAATATTATTGTATCATATCATAAAGTCTTTAGTTTTATTTTTCTTATAAATAGGTGATTAAAATTACTATGAAAATCATTTTGTAATTAAAAAGGGATAATAGAAATATAATGTATATTATATCATCGTTAATATTATTAGGATAAATACTAAATCTATTACAGTAGTATAATCAATTTTAATGTAGGCATACAAAATATACACGCAGTCTAAATTGTTACCTCGTGAGTTTCGACTTCCAAAGCGTTAACTCTAGCTGCTTGCATTATTTTTTTTTTCTTTTGCAATAGCAATTCTTCCAACCGCACTGCGGCACCCTCTACTTCACTGTGAAACTTCTTTACATCTTCGAAACTCGACCTGTATGGACCAGATACAAAATGTGAGGGTCAATAAATATTTACTAATTAGAAAAAATCAGTAAAAATTCATGAAAACTTTTTAAATACATGAGCACAATATTTTCACAACGAGTATTTGAAAAAACAAAAAAAAAACTTATGCCACTATACAATTTTCTATTTAAATTAGTTTTATATCGTTTATAGTTACAATTTGTTTTGTTTTTATATCGTTCGTAAATTAGACACTTAAAACAAAAATTATATAGAAAGTTATAATAATACGTATAATATATTTGATCAACTGCCGTATAAGAACAACTCTATATCCAGTGAAACCGGCACATTATGACATGGTAATTAAAATTGGTGGCCTTACATTAAAAATGAATTAAAAATTGGTCTGCCAGCCTCGAATAATAACTTTATAATCTGATATAATTATTGTTATTTTTTATAATCAAATAACAACATAATGGTAGGTAATAATAATAAATCGTTTTTTGTTTAACGAAATAATACGTATTTATCGTTTTCATCATAACGTTTTATTACGACGATCATATAGTAAGTAAAAAACGTGTATGCAGTTGTGTAAGGAACCAGATGTTAATAAAATGATATCAAGTATATATCTAGTTGTTGGCTTTTAGTTCATTGAAAATCTGAATTCGTGTTCAGTAGAAAACCATTAATAATTTTGATTTATACGATATTATACTAATCACGATAACAGATGTTATAAAAAAAAAAAAAATATTTCGATACAGGTAATTAGTTTTATATTATAAAACTGGGTAGAACTTTAGTGATACTGTATAGTGTAAGTAGAAAATTCTATCGTAAACATATTTCGTTCTATTCTGTATGTATAATAAAATATTCTAAATATTCAGGAAACATCACACAGTATAACTTGAAATTGGTTATAAAATATTTTATTAACAAGCAGACTTTCTCGGCAGGATGAATGTATAATCAAAAAGTCTCAATTTTCTCCCCCGATATTTTACTTGAACCCCGTAAAAAATTATTTTTCAAACTGAATTATACATTTAAGTATAGAGAAAGTATTTACTTGTTGTACTATCGTAATTCAAATGTTTCGATGATTAAAATAATAATACGCTTAATCACAAATTTCTGCATAATATGATAAATTTAAGCCCTCCTTAAGCGCTGACTCATGTATGTATTATATGGTTGTTAAATTTACAATATTATGTATGTTGAGTATATTATGTTAATACTTAGCAGTCAGTGGACGATAATAATCTATTAAATTATAATTATATACTATATATTAAGACATACGCTTAAATCAGGTATATTTAATAAAATTACCTATCTAAATATCTAGTAATATATTAGGTATAGGTACTTAGATTATCAGTAAATTTTCCTAGTGTTTATCTATGATTGTTAAAGTCAAACATACATCACAAATCTATCTTCGTTCAACCAGCGCGCATGTTGTACAAGTATTTCCATGCTCTGTCTAGCGTTTTGAAGTAAATTTTTAATATCTGAGTCGTCCAAGAATTTGGATATTGCATTGCGTTCTTGTTGCACGTTTCCCATGTCCGCAATGGCTGTCACGAGCCGATTTCCGGCAGTCTGGCTCAAATAAGTCAATCTCTCCAACTCCTTATAAAAAATAAAAAAACAAATAAATAAAATATTATTACCTTCTGATAAATTATCGCAAGGGATATACACAATACCGAATTAACAATTCTTTTGCATCGAATAATACATCGTTGTTAATAATTTCGTTTTTCTTTCACAAGTGATTATTAATCATTTGTATGCGCGTGTGCACATGTGTAATTTAGTATTTAAAGTCATAACTCATAGAAGTATATTATATAGGCCAATAACGTGAACAAACCTTATAGAAATCAATCCATTCAAGTTGGCTGTGTGTGTATGGCCCACCACATGCCGACGGAATCTGACTGTCTTCAAAGAACTCTAAAAGCCCGTTGTATGAATTGACGGCGTAACACTGAAAGTAATTACATTGACGAAACGTAAAATCAAAATGATTTGTACTTGTATTTACTACAAGAAATATACGTGAAAAGTTTCTTACCCGAATTTGGCTGTATTTTAGTCGGTTTCCTTCTGCGTGTCGCTTCGTGCAAAAAATTACTTTGTCCACGGAAACTTGATGCTGCACAATAAAATAACAATAATAATAATAAAAACCATTGAACACATAAAATATTATTGACTCTGTCACGCCTATTACCTTTATCAGTTCCAGTACACAATCAACGAATTCTATGCTAGTGCAGCTGTTCTCGTGCACCAAAATGGTCAACGATGAGTTCCTTTCGTTTCTAAAAATGGAGAATAATTAAAACAATTTATTTTATTATTATAATTATTATTACGTAGACATGAGAGTACATAATAACAAGAGCATGAAACACGGGTGCAAGTCTTTACGTAAAAAATTAATAACTTGTACTTACAGATCATGTTTTATATATTACTTGTTCATGCAATACTGGATAAAACAAGAACATAATTAATTGGTTTAATCCTTCGAGATTTAATTTTTCTAACGTGATTTTTAAGGAAGTATTTTAAAAACCCCTAAACACCAATACGTTATAAGTAATCAGTAATAAGTAAATTAGGTATATTTATCGGAAAATATTAAAATTATAATTTAAATCTAAATCCAAAGTAGTAATTATTAAATTATGTTCCCTCTATTGATAACAATTATTCAGTGAATGCAAGTATACTTTAGAAAAACTTTTATATAATTATATGGTAAATAACTACGACTTGATTAAATAATTAAAAATAAATAAGGTAATTACTAATTACAAAAAGAATTTTAAGTATTAGATTGTCATCGTATATATTTTTTAAAGTTTTTATTTCTAAATATTATAAAGCGATTTAATAAACGAGTAGATTCGACAATTGATTTACCGTCTCCTTAATTTAGGTTTTCGACGTAACGCGAGTTTGAAATCAAAGGATATAATATAGTAACATTCAAATTTATATGAAACAATAACTAATAAACACCTTCGAATAATAATTGGTAATATAAAATGGGAATTAAAGTTGAAAATATTGGTTTCAATAAAACCGTTTGCATTGTGTTTTGAAGGTGCAAAAGTAGAGTTTTTTCTACCCAAGAACAATGTTATAGTTAGGGCAATTATTGCACCACCATCCCACCTAATAGCTATTATACCTACTACTATTATTATTATTACGGTATAATCCATGGATTTTCGTGTGAAGAAATCGAAATGGCAATGTATAATATAACTGTGTACATATATTGACGTGCCCGTCCGGCTAAAAGTAAAAGTCAACGGGGTAGGTCATGAACGAGCACGACTCTATTAAAAACGAAAAGGAAAAACAATCAGACTGGTGTCCCCTAGCTGCTTGATTAGATTTTGATTGGTATACTGCGACGCGTCATTTCGACACGGCCATCACCTTATATATATATATTTATTGTCTTGGAAGCCGTTATTATACATAATATTGTATCTATATGTAGGTATACAGAAATATTCGTTGTCGTCATCGCTATGTGAGCAAATAATCCAATGGCGTGAAGTACGTTATATACCTACACAAGTCGCTGTCACCGCACCGCCGGCTAAGGCAAGGACGAATCGGATTGTTTTAGTGATAATTATACACATATATGTATATACGCCTAGCGATATTAATAATTATATACATCGCGTTTTATTGTACAACTTGTAAAATATAATATATTTATCAATGGTAGCATTTTTTTTGTAAATTATTCTATGACTCGTATCGCGGATTAACTATTCTTGCAGCCGTTTTATGCGTCAAAAAAATTAATCCATAGGCGTATATCAATGTACAATATAATATGATATCATAATATTATTTATTGTGTTTTTCTGCTAAATCGTAACACGGACGACGATACGTACGTATGAATAAAATATATTAAAATTATAAATAATAAATAGGTACGTCCGCTGGACAAAGCGAGAATATCTATCACTATGTTTTATTAAACAACATTAGTTTAATGATTAATAATGCTTATTATACCCGATCACGTATACAGAGAATTTTGGAAATTGAATTTCTCAAAATTTCATACGAAAACGGTTTTTTACAAATTAATTCTAACTTTTAAACTGTAATTTATAATATTGGATGGTATGATTAATAAACGCATCCTCCAGAAATTTTATTTTCAGTTATGCACCTGGTTATGGCGTTTATACCAATAATTCAAGATTCTTAAGTGTTGCATTCTAATATGCTTACCTGTTTCTCAAAGATGCATAGTACAAAATAAGCTCTGCTGCGTTAACGTCTGACATGGTTTCCGAACTATGCCCAGACTGTCCTTCGACCCATAATATTATTGCATTACCCTGTCGGTCCACGGCTCCTGTAACACAATGAAATATGCAGCGAATTGTTAATACGCTTATTTAGATCAAGACATTTTCATAATATTTACATATACGTGTGCAGACAAGTATTCATGATCATAATATTATAATTGTGTTTACATTTCTCCGCCCACGCATAATTAGACATAAGAATAGGTATATTTTCTTAAATCGAATTATATACAGTAATTATATGAACGCATGTCGAGAAATCTCGAAAAAAAAGAATAGTACGATTACGGATAGAAGGAGGAGCTTAAACTTATATGATACTATATCTTAATTATATGATGAAAGTACATAACGTATAGTATAATAAACAAATGAATAATGATTGAAAAAATTAAACCGTTTTCTTTTAAATTAACGTGGGAACGAATCGACTTCAATCTGAAATCGGTAAATAAAATGTACTTAATATAATTTTTTTTCCATTTGTTTTACTACAGTAAACGCATGCGTTTTTAGAGTAGTAAAACGAAGAGGAAAAATGGTTTACTGCTAAATTTCGCACATTACCGAATGCGTGTGTTATTAAAATATCAAACGTATTTAACGGGCACAGTGACGACGATGTAGATATGGATCTTATACATTTAGGATTTTGATAGTTTATTATTATTATTTCTTTTGGAGAAAGTGATAATTTCATTACGGAAATATACAGACGACGGTGCGTTGTTAAACGACAATAATAATTACGGTATAAACACGCGGTAAACAAATAGAGTGCGCTGGACGCGCGAACAACCTCGTGCAAACAAAATGTTTCTATAATTTTGAAGCCTATAATGGAATATATTTATGAAAATACACGTAATGAACGTTATCCTAAGAACACAAAATATCTTGTGCATATTATACAAAGCAGATCATCAACCATGCACTTATCCCCAAACCAGATTTTTCTTTAGTATTGAATTTATTGAATTTATACATTTTGGGATTACCTAAGCACATGCAGGTGTGTTTTATCTACGACAATCATTTCAAATATTTAGATTTTTATACTGTTGAAGAACTTGTACTCTAGCAGTGGTGATATCAACCTGTTTTTGTCAAATAAAAATCGTTCTTTTTTTCAAAATTAATCACGACTTTTTTCAAAATGTCGATGTATCTAAATCGAACTTTAAAAAAGTAGCTTTTGATTTATTTAATTTTGTTTACCAACGATATTAGATCCATAATATAATAGATTAGAAAGATAATACAGGGAATATAATAATTCTGTAACTATAGCTAATTTAAATTTAGATTTGTCAAAGTATAATAAATAACAAAACTAATTTATCTATTTAATATTTTTAAATTCTTTTTTCAACAATTTTTCAGGATAATAATTGTTCTTAGTAACTATACAAAAATAACTCAAAAACTAATAATTTAAATTTTGATTTAGACACATCAACATTTAAAAAAAATTATCTTGACGATAAAATATGATTGTTTCTTATTTAAAACTAAATACTTGATATTAGTGTATTACCACAAAATACTCCTCAAAAGATACAAAAATTCAAAGTATATTCGAAAAATAGCTAAATAAATAATTAAAAATTCCAAAAACTAGAATTTAAATAAATAAATTATCAAGGAAAATATTGAGGGGGGAGAGCTTGCTTGATAAATCATTTTGTGTAGAATAATAATATGTACTAAGTAAGCTGCGGGTTCCCTTTATAAATAGCTGGAACGAGACAACGGGAAATTGCTAAATATAATATCGTTATGGCCTACCGGGAGGTCGTAGTAACATTTGAGTAAAATAATCTCGAGTTAGACGCGTGCGAAATATACTGACACATCTGTGCTGTGTTTTTATTCGCAGTTTCCGGTTGCTGTTCGCTTCGAACACCGACGACGAAGGCTGCGAGGAAGTTTTGGTATTGCTTCCATCTCGCCCTATACAATACGCGCGTATACATAATACATTTTAAAGAATAGTGTATACATTAAATAATAATAAAAAAGACCCTTCTCCTTCCTTGCTCTATGAAATAATGCGGGTTATTTATTTTACTCTCGTCGTCGAATTAACAATAATATTACCGTCGTAACAGTAATATACGTATACCATATACTATACAGCATAATATACCACATGCACAATATAATATAATAATAATGTGTATACTTCAAGCCCTCATCCGTTCGCACAATCTGATATTTTAATTTTTTTAAACGCGCGGAAATGTGTTTTTTTTTTTTTTTTGTTTGCACCCGATTTTGTTTCAATAGCAGCTGTGTATTGGACCGGTAAGCAGTACGAAACGTGTTATTTAATATAATTATATTATTATGGATTCGGTGTCGATAATAACTTTAAGTACTATGATAATATTATTTTTAATATTATAATAAAATAACAAATATTTTCAAATAAAATAATATGATAAACATATCGACATGATAATATTTTTATAGGCACTGTAACTTACTATAAAATATAAATGCATTATAGAATAGAACAAGAATAATATAAATTAGATACTGTGCAGTTGTGTTTTCTATTATGAATGGCATTAGATTTTATGTAAAAAGTGCAGTAAGAACAGTCACGAAACATTTATAATATGGTACTTGCTACCTACGCGTGATGCATATGAAAAAGATTCGTGTTCAATGTATAAACATTGTACAAAAAATTGACATAAAAATCAAAACTTTAAAAAAAATGTTATATATGTTAGATTTTTATAGAATAGAACTGGCATATCGTTAGCTGCGGGAAAGCGTCGCATAATAATATGCAAATGCCATAGATACAACATCCGTGTCCTAGAATTATTGTCACTTTAATATTATATATTATAATATTATGTCGTATCCAGGAGGTGGTTTACATTGCCAGCACTGCCGACCGGTAAAAAAACACGTTCTTTAACTTTTTATTCAATGTTTTAAACTCACCTGGAAATTGTATTCCCGATGTGAGAATGTCTTCCGATAGGTCACAAATGGACTTTGGTACTCTGACGGATTGTTGTGACTGTTTTTGTTGGTGTATCATCGCTGTTATGCCTAGAACAATTACAAATAATAATTTTATAGTTTATTATTTCATAAAAAAAAACAAACAGCTGGTAAGTATATATATATGTAGTAGGACCGGATGTGGACACTGCGCTGACTATGCGCACGTTGTAATGACTAACAAATAAATCGTGGATCATAATAATAAAAAAATCTAAAAAGTAAGATGATTTTCATGGTTACGCGACGAACAGATAATGGGCTTAATGTCGGAAGTCTTGTTACTGAGATTATTAAATTTTATTTTTATTTATTTTTTTTATAACATTCCTTTAACGCATTTAATTATATATTGGTACGCTTCTATATAATATCGCCTTCGCCGGCCAACATTGTAGAACATAACATGTAAATATTTGTTATAAATACTACTCGTATGTACCTAAATATTTTACACTAAGTCACGTAACCTATACATAGTAATAATAATAATATACTATACTCGTATAGTAAATCGTAACTTGTAGAAATTAACATTATTTTCACTGAAGGCTGAAATATATATATTTTGTCGAATATCGGGGTTTAATAACATAATATGCTAATAACGACCATGTAGTGGTTTTACAATAGGTGTAAACGTATTCGTTATGAAATGCGATAGTTATAATTTTATGTAATTATATTTATTTGCCCTTTTCGTTTGTACTATTATTTAACATATAAAAAACATGAACACGATTACTGCTACGGTAAAAATGTAAATATATAAATCCATGCTTATACTTTCATACAGCTATAGACTATAGAGCGGTAACCGAGATCTTAAAATTACATACAACTTTTCAATCATTAAGCGCACTTTACACCAACGAATTATTTTTCCATTATTGTGTTACGATGTGATAACCTACATAATATGTATTATTATACTTATTTCTTTTACGCACGTACACAACTAAACCGTTACGTAAACGCGGGACGTTGATTTCCAATGTTCGTTAATTGTATCAATATTATACTATATAATATATAATAGATACATAATCCGTGGTTGTGGAATCCCATGGCGCCTGTTTAGTACAGTAAATAAAAGCACGTATACACACCTCTATACCTGTCTTCATATACATGTCAACGAGAAAAGTATGGTAAGTTGCCAATTGTGTAATAATGTGATACATTATTTTGGATAATCAAGACCCCCACCAATAACAGCCTTATATGGAATAGAAAAAAAAAATGCACTGCCATAAAAAGTAATGTAACATCTCGGACGGTCAGGTTTAGTGAAAAATATTGCATTTCAACATAAAAATGAACGTCATTTGTATATATTTACGCGGAAAAGAAACCTTAAAAATAATTAAAGGACCTATATCTATATCTAAAAACGTTATTTAAAATGTTGTCATAATATAATTATATATTATGCCGAATGTAATTATACTACACAGTTTAATGTATATATTAATATGTATAAATGCACTGATTCATATCAATTTAAGTACTACCTCGTGAAATTGATAAGTGGTAGTTAAAAAGTAAAAAGAAATATAGTCATAGAATCCCATTCAAAATACGTTCATAGGCACAGTTTATGCAAATAGGTGAGTATAGCTGATATAATATTATGCTATAATATATTTTTATACGATTAATGATTATCATCGCATTAATAAAGTATAGGTAGGTAGTATAGTAAATACATAGATAGAAACATATGGTGTTTTATAGACTATTCTCGTAATTATATGTTGTTAGAAAAATAAATTTTCTATTACCGTTGATAATCATTATCGTCATCACCATTATCATAATAATAATAATAATATTAATGCCGAAGACGATAAAATGATTTCAAAAGCTCTTACAACGCCACTATGATTGAGTGTTTTCGTTATCTTTTCGACATGTCAATGTAGGATATAGAATGTATACGTCCACGATTCAATAGATATATAAACAACCAGCACGACAATACATATATATTGTACATAATAAGTAATAACATTCAGGAACTCACGTGTGTACGAGATAAACTGTCACACGGTTTATCAGCATCTCTATACAGAATAATAATAATATGGGTAATATCTTATGTACAAGGTTATTTAAATATTATGTTGACTTTAGAAAACGCACAGGATGACTGTTTTTCTTTGGCGAGCTAATAGTACTTTTGACATTTATGTGAAATAAAAGGGTAATTATTATGAGGAGGACTTTTCATATTTTTAATATTTAAACTCTACTGTGGTGAGTGTTTAAATATTGATAACACACGAATAACCCGAGGACATAATATATTTCTAACTATAGGTATGTCTATGTACATTGTACATATATACATTTACAACAGCTACCATACAACTGATATGTATGATGTTAAGTATGCATGCTTTATACACCTACAGCCCTATTATACGCGTAGATACAGTTGACACGGCCAGACACACATATTCCCCGAAAGCGGTTAGTTGTGTCTGCCTATATCGTGTACTTGGATCATAGAAAATCATGTGTGCCGGCGCGATATTATCAATATACTTGGATTTTTGAAGTTACGACACATTAATTAACATTCTTCTCGTGTAGTGTATATGAAAAAGATCTTTGGTATTTTTGATTTATGTTATGCGACAACGTGCTGCGGCGACCGTTGATTAATATATACTTACTGTAAGAGTAGTGTATGGTAAGAAATGAGTATTTATAAATGACAGTATATTAGATTTTATTCGAATAAAAATACGTAATTTAATAATAAAATTATACAATCAAATATAAAATACATGTACAAACGCCGAATGCTGTCGAAAGAGCATTGTACACACAAACACACAAACGCCGACGCATACACACATACTCATACAAAAAGAGGTCTTTTATTTCTCTCGAATGTTGTTTCAAAGATTCTCATCAGTCACGTTGCTTTCAATTCACATGGGGGTTATATCTGACACACCCTTTATTATATAGACGGGTTCCGACTTCCCGTCGCCGCCTGAACATCATCTCACCGCGTTCACCACGTTCAAATATATGTATATATATATAAGGTCTCTCTTTTCCCTACCCTCTCTTTTTCCCTCACTCTATTTTGTATTCTGTCTTTCCAATTTCCACTCTTCAGTAATAGTTGAGTTGTAGAGTTTAACGTATTATTTACAGAAATTTTCGAATAGAAGTGTATACGTATAGTTGAGTAAAATAATATGTAATGTGCAACTGTCGATTTAAGAAAAAAAGTTAATTTTATATAGTCAAATAACACGTAGTGTAAAGAAAGTGTAGGAGTATTGTGGAATTCGTATTATACGTATATAGATAGATGACTATTATACTAACCTACAGTTAGTTCGGTAGTCATATACTGTACGGGACTAGCCTATAAAATTTTGCCGATGGCAAGTCAAGAAATAGCGCGTAATATACGTTTCGAACACACGCTTTGCACCAGCCGCTTATATTCCTGCTTGGAGCGCGACGATAGATAGGTAATTTACGTTTTATGACTTAGGGATAACTATATATATATACATATAAACCTATATACGTGCGTGTATGTATTATATACAAGTGCTAAAAGATCATACCGACAATGGCGACAAACAAAATAGGAACCGATCGAGTACTATATAATAATAATACAACGTGCATAAATACAAATGTACCTATGCACGAAACCAGGCCAAGGCGGCAACTCCATGTACAGCAGCAGCAAAGAGCTAATAGAAAAGATAATGAGCTTATGGGAGGTACATATGCCACTATATACATATAAGCCAGGTCTATAATATATAACACATCTATATACTTATTATACATATTTTACGCTGTGGATCGATATGGAAACAACTATAATAATATGTACAATAATATATATTAACTATTATTAGCTGCAAGCGCACAATGACAACGCTCGGGGACAAGTGTTTTCAATTTCACAGGTGAGAAAGAAGAGAAAAAAGTGCACTACCAAGGTCAAACCGGGGTAAATATTCGCCGGATATAATCTTTCATATATTGTATACGCTTGTACCTACCCATAAATAGTTGATAATAATAATTATAATAATAATATACACTCAAGTATATAGAATCGCAATCATATATATACATTATATACCTCTATATATTTACACATATACACAGCGTTTGCCGCGAGGTGTGAAGCGCTAGTCCTTTATAAGATCTCGCACAAATCTTTAATTAGGCTCTGACCGTGTTCAAATGAATATACCTATTGGTTTGACCGACGAGTAAATTATATATATATATATATTTTATGTACGTTTGTTAAGGTATTATACATCGTTGTATCTGCGTATGTGGTTTGTGAACCAATTGCATAATAATATATAATCGCATACCTCGTACTCAATACTGTCTACCGTTTCACGCCCATCACGACATATTCGCAATCCGTACGTCGCAGCTCGTGTGAAACAATAAAAAAAAAAAAAAACAAAACAAAACAAAATACGTGAAAAAAATCACACTGTTCTTTAAATGCTTTCTCGTGTGTGCTCCACGATTGTATAAATATATAACAGTGTTTATAGTAATATATCGGTACAGCGGACTACACGACATTATGCGCCGATATGTCGTACATAAATACTATTATACCACTATTAGAAAACGTTTCGATAGTTCGCGGGCATAATATTATAATGCATGCGAACTTTATAGTAGTTATCACTCTTATAGTTTTCTATCAGTCTGGTAATTTACTAAGGTTAAATCGCTTTTTTTTGTTCGAATAATTCACAGCTAAGCGTGGAGAGAAAATCTTATACCATTTACCTTTTGCGATGACGTTACAAAACTCGCGACGATGCTTTGTTTTTCTCTAAATTCTCGTGCTGTCGAAACCACCGCTTTTGTTTCGTAATTTTCGCAACGTTTACAATCGTTGGCAAGGGATACGAGATTAGGAGGTACTGATTGCGCCCCGAGGGTTTTGCAACTGTACTTCCGGCACGTGTGGGAAAACGCAATTTCAGTCAGTTATATTATACTTATATATCATAACTTCTCAT